TTTTTATGTCATTTTTTTTCTTAGGACTAAACTTTGTCTCTTTTTATTGCATTTTATATTCAAGGATTTTTCATATTAAACAGATATATATATATAGTACTCGACCTCTACTATACAGACATATAATTAAATTAAATTAATGTTGTGTAGTTTTAATACACGAGTCAAAATAAAAAAGTGGTACGAGACTTATGACGTCTACTTTACGTTTTATGAAAAATTAAACTGAGCTTTATGCAAATGTGTAAACAGAGTAAAACTGTCCAAATAAGTGAAGTTTATATGATTATTAACAGGATCTCCCCTCTTCTTTGTCCGAGCATAATAGAACGAAATAAATACTAAAGATAAACTTATTTTGTTTAAGTAGTTGCATTGCATTGAATTTTATTTTAGGTCCATGCGGTTCTCTCTCTTGATTTTCTCCTCTTTATTTTTAAACAAATAGATATTGACTTGAAGAAATTTAATGATATATATGACGCAATTATGAAATTTATTGAAGAGTCTGCCCGTTTTCTGTTTCTCGCACATACCATCACAGAAAATCTCATCTATACCACTATTCCATATTTTGCTGTTTATTTTTGTTTTTTATTCACTTTTATTCCCTATTTTGTGACATGTATCTGTTTTTTATTCTCTTCATGCCCACCTCTTCTTTTTACAGTACCGTGCACCGTTCGATGGACATAGCTTAATCTGGTCACTGTTTTCTGGTAAAAAAGATTTAAACTAAAGGTGATGTTATACACAACTTAATCATTTACTCTCGAAATCAAAGAAATATTATCAACATATGTTAATGATGCTGTTAGCAAAAAGGAAAATTGATGTCTATTTTCATGCCTATTAACTTACATGTGACTCTATATGATTACTGTTGTTTCGATTTGAAATATCATTGAAATGATGTTTTTTCATCATTGTCACTTGATGATATGGTGTTACCATTGCTGTTTCTGGTGATGTAACATTCATAAGTGCAAGGATTACTTTTCTTGCGTCTAACGCTGATAATTGATGTGATGTTGTCAAATGTGAATAGAGATTCACTTTCTTATAAGGATTTAACATTTTACATCGAATAATATTTATGCCATCACGATGATTTTCATCATTTTGATATATAAATGGGCAATAATCTTTATATTTTTTATGATGTATTTGTTTATTTGTTAATTGATCATTGAGATCAAATGTAATCGTTTCACCAATATTGTCAATTAGTTTGATTATTTTCATAGCGATAGAATCTACAAAATAGTCAACACATCACACTACAGTACAACAATGTTTCGTTATTCATACCAAGTAGATTATGATGTATTGTTAGATGTTGAAATATTTTGATTTTTGAATTTAATCTTGTTTTACATGGGATATTTTCAATTTTTTTAATCTGATCGATAGTAAAGAAGTATAGTACGAAATTATTTTGATCATGCTGATTAAATGGACATTTTTCTTTATAATATTGGCGGTAATATGAACTATTCCATGTTAGCTGAGACTTACAGACAATATCGGTTGGAAAAACTAAAGTTGTTTGACCAAGATTTGTTGGCGAACATGTTTTTAACGTTCGGATTATTTGAATTGACGATTCACGAGTAAAATTGTGATAATGTTCTACAATGAAAAAAAGTGTAATGATAGTAAGTTATTAAACGATATTTTACTTGCCTAAATGTGGCAATAGTAGTAAATTATTTTCTTTTGATTCACACGGAAAATGTCTTAAATTTTGATGCCCTTGTAAGTTTAAAGCCAAACCACTATATGTTAATGGACATTGATGCCGATAATTATTTTGTAGTTGATATGTCAATGTTATTTTATCTTTTGGAAGGAATAATTTTGTTGTTTGCCGCGGTAATGCTCTTAACATTGCTTGAACTAATTGATTGGCAGCTGAATTCGTTAAGTCATGTTTGAACATAAAATGGTGGTGTAATAATACAACTGATACGGATTCATTGCATGGAATCGATGGCACACCATGACAGTGTTCGATACCGTATTGACCGTAACTGGTTAACGGACAATATCCATAATATTTTTCCAAATCAGTTGCCAGCAAATTAATATTAGACATCTAGAACAACCACAGAAAAGAATAAACAATAATTATGTATGAGAAGAACATGATTTCGAAAGATTTATCTTACTACCTTTAATAGTTAGACCGCCTTGAAAAAGTGCTTCCTTTCTTGAATTTTTGGGCCGATCGACGAAAGTACTCTTTTCAGAAGAAATTTATGGCTTAGGAATTAAAATGCAAACTTTTGAATGTATTTGGGAAACATTGTATAAATCGTACACGACAGAAATCCTCAATTCAATATGATTCTTTTGAGAGGTATTTAGCCCCACGAAATGATGCTGAACGCAAAACGACTAATCCCATAGTAACAGCATACCCTGGCTGTAATCATCATAAGCATTAATTAAATATGTTCTTAGATAAGATTTTTCGTCATTAAGAGACAAATATAGATAGAATCATTGGATAACGTTGATTGCACACAATTCTTCATCTTAGACAAGATGTGAAAAATGCTGGAATATTACATCAAACTTGCATACATTGATAAGAATACACAGGAGATAATAATACACTCTTGAGACAAAGGAAATACAGAGAAAAATAAACTCGTTGACACTACTCTTCTTAGAGAAACGAACTGAGATGCAAACAATTCTCATTACACGAGAAAAACTTTTAGAAATAGATCAGCACGAAATACCGTTTTTTCCCGCTGATGCTGCATATTTGGCACAACGAATGAATTTGAAAGTTACAGACTCTATTCAGAGGCTTTATCATCAGGTCGCTAGTCATGAAAAAAATCAGAGCACGTTATAAGTGGACGGCGCATAACCCATGTATGCACTGTGAAAGTTAGACACACACACTATAGTGTCACAGAACTGTAAAGATCAGAGTTCCCAGATCCTCAGATCAGAAATGCGGAATAAAAATCCCAAAATGCGGAAACTTGCGGAAAATTTTTCTCAGAATGCCGGCACAGAGTCAAAAAAATGTTTTCTCTAGCACTTTGTGGTTTTATTCAATAAAACACAAGAGAAAAACAAACAGAAATGTAAGTCCCGATTTTAGTTGACACGTTGTTTTTTGACTGTATATTTTTGATTAGAATGAATAAGTTTAAGCAGATCTGGCGTTGATAAGAAATAATTATAAATTTCAGTGCATGATAACGATGAGTTTAAACGAATTTTTAACTCAGCAGCAATCATTTCTGTCGACATACGATTTCTTTTATCGTTAAATAAATGTTTCATGGAAGAAAATGTACTTTCAACGTATGAATTACTGCACGGAATCGAAAATATAAACGAAACTAATTTATGCATGTTTGGGGATGGTGTTGGTTTAACAATAGGATGAGAAAGAGAATCCTCGATAGATAGACATTCTTTTTTTAAATGTTATATGTAAACAGGGGAAAAACAGCAAAAGCAGACAATTCTCAAAATGCGGACAGCGGACAAATTGCGGAAAAAACTCCAAAATGCGGAATTTGTCCGCAAAATGCGGACCATCTGGGAAGTCTGGTAAAGATATGAAAAATTCATAATTTCAATTGAATTCTCTAGCGCTCTCGATATTCAAAGCAAGTTCGAGATACCAGAATGCTTTAATATAGTAGAAAATGTATATTTTATGAGATCAGCAAGTGCATAAATCGAGCTACTAGCGATATAGCTTATTTTCAACGTAGCGAAGTGGATATAATACATATTCATCTTTTTATACATATGGGATCTGCCTTGGTGAATGTACTTGTGAGTGAGTACTTGCTTACTTGCAAATTTCTGCGGATACTTGACATGCATTATAGGAACTTCGCAAGTATTTTCTAAAAATACTACTTGATAAGTGTTTGAGCAAGTACTTGCTGAAATTTGCAAGTAAACAAATGCTTGATATGTGTTTTCTGTACCTGGACAAGTATCTGGTATTTTTTAGAACAGCATCAAGGACTTGCAAACATAATGGTGCAGACACAGTACGCGATTGGCGACTAATATCTATAACTCAGAGTTTGTACTCTCTAAAAAAAGGATCACTGCCAAACCCTTAGTTTTTCGTGTTTTCATAATAAACCTTTTATGAAATACGGTCTCGCAGGCTGTTGACGAAATAGAGGTAGCGTACCAAACCCGAAGAATAAGTTCTTCCCAAAAAGATTCCGAGTTGCATTTACTAAAACATCAAAAAGGTTTAGCAGAAATTTTTTTTATAAGTTTTTATTTTTTTCAAAGTGAGCGTACGAAACCATTTATCTTTCAAAACACTTAGTGACTCTTGTGGTCGAATAGTAATAAATCCCAGATATCAGACGAAACCTAAAGAGTGTAGAAATGGTTGGAATTCTCTACACTCTTTTAGGTTTTTAATAGTAAACCTTTTTTTTGAGAGTACTGCTCAGATTTGGTCGAGTTCATCTAATAATAGTTGAGCAAATGGAAATAACACGAACGACCACACTACGATTATACGAGTAAAGTTTTATACGCACTTGCTATGTTGAAGTACAAATAAAACAATAGAATAAATATTATTCTACCAACACACACATATTATTTGTCATATACTTGCCAAGTACTTCAAGTGCCTGTAGAATTTAATCAACAGTAGCACTTACCAAGTACATTATTTACTTGTCAAACTTTTCTCAGATACTTGCGGGTTACTTGGGCAAGCACTTAGTCAAGTGCTTGACAAGCAGATCAGGCAGTTCAAGCACTTGATTTACTTGCGAAAAAAACCAAGAACGTTGGATAAAACTTGCGAAGGTACTTGGGCAAGTACTTGTATGCAAGTACATTCACTAGAATGGCAATTTTTGAGAGTTTATACTTACTTTTTGAGATATAAACGCTATTTCCTATCCTTTAATAGACGCTACGTTGTCTAATTTGAGACATTCTGATAAACTAGCGACCTGGAGAGTGTTTCATAAAAAGTGTTTCTTAGGTGCTCGTTTTGCACACTTACGTGTTAATTTTATACATTTAAGCCTGACTTTAGTTTACCCAGACTGAGTTAAGTCGAACACTTAACTTTTAGAATTTTTATGAAACATCCTCCTGATGATTATATAATACATTAAGTGTTTGAAAATCTGTCCACTATACAGCTTATGAAAACGTTCATCGTCATAAAATCATTAGGTAAAAAATTAGTAGTTTTAGTTAGAAGATCTAAGGGGTTTTCTTTTAATTTTGCCATAATTCAAGTTTCTATCCTTATATTGTAATAATCACATCCTAAACTACACTGTCGCAACTTTACATCGGAAATCATTGAAAAGCGACCAAAACAAAATGGTAAGGAAGTATTATTCGATTATTAAGCATTTCTGGCTAAGTAAAAAACCAGTGTGTTATTCAGAAAATGATCTTTTCATCTAAGGTGACTAACATAAAATATCACATATTTCGAGAAAATACTTCATTTTTCGGTCCCTGTAGACTCGAACATAAATGTGGTTGTCTTGCATGGATTAGTCAGTGGAATTCAAATCCGTTGAAATCATTTCAATAGAAGATCATTGGCAATGGAATCTTGACTCCTGAGGGACAGCCCCGAATCCCGTCCCGCAGGACAGACAGGCTCGGGACAAAAATACCTTTATGAACCTGGGCAAGGAAAACAATTCACGGGCTTGGACTGACGGGCTCGGGACAAATCATTCTACCTGCACGTGTTCTTCTCTCGATGCGTTTATTGAGTGACTGCTGTTACACCTGTGCACACCATCCACTCTATAACCCTATGCATTTAGATTAGTGCTCCATCATATGGATTTTTGAAACGGCAAGCTCGAACTTTTTGCAGATTCGACTTGGAGTCGACAGGCACACGATAATGAAGCTATTCGATCTGGCTCGTTTTTACATTGAATTATGCCCCCGAGTGTTCTTTTTCTGAAACTGGAAACCATTCAATCCCTTTTCGTTCTTGAGTTATTCAAAAAATATCCCCGTGCATTCTGTTTTGAAATGGATAGTAGTGAGTGGATGTAAAATATTTTTGTAAAGAGGAACTTTTAAGTTTAGAGTCAAACAACTTAGGCTTAAATTTTTTCAAGTTAACTTTGCAAAAATAAGTTTGAGAGTTTAAGCATCTCTTGTACAATTACAATTTATCCAAACAGGAAAAGGTTTTCAGAAACTTACGGGACAAAATGCCCGTAAAATTTTTTCACGGGATAGACGGGTTCGGGACAACATTATTTGCTCACGGGCTTGGGCTTACGGAACGAGGCAGAATCTTTTGTGTTCGGGGTGGGGCTCACAGGCTCAGGACAACAAAAAGTTTGCCCCGCAAGAGTCTAATGAAATCAAACACAAACGTCCACAATTATGAAATTTGTTCTATTTCTTCCTTTTGGCAAGGAGTTTCCAATCCAAGGAGATGAATAACAAAAAAATGTCAATAGACGAAATTTAAAATGAAATATCAAGGATTCTGATGATTTTTGTGATTTGACTTGATTCATTGTTTAACTAAAAATAATAGCAGAACTTTTTGTAACGACTTTTGTAGCTTTATACAGCACAAATAATTGAACTAATTGAATTGATTTATTCTTGAGTTTTCGAATCTACCAATTCATCAGCAGAAATTTGCTGTATAATAACGAGAAGGGTGCATATTTCTTATTAAAAGCAACTGGAATATAATAAACAATACATTAGACGGGAGGTTTCTTTTAGGGACAAAAATTATTATGTCTCAATAAATCACCATTGCTTTTTGTCTCAATAGTAAATCCCATTCAACCTGTTGTTCATAGACTTCTTGGTCTAGCCATTGTTCATAATTACGTTTAAATGTTTCGGGTAAATCATGATTATCGAAATTTATTGTTGACAAAGCCGTTATCAGATCTTGATTGGTGTTGTTCGAGGAAAAGTAGTCGTTATCAAATATTTGACTGTGTTGATATTCATTTGATAGTTGATGTACACCGACATTTTGTGTACTAGAGTTATGCATTTTTGAATTAGATGATGTACAATAACGACGATGATTAAAGAAATCAATTTTGTTACGTAGTGCACGTTCTTCTGTTTGAAAATCCCATGATTGTGACTCTTGTTCTAGCAAGAAAACAAACGGTTTCTCAGCTGCTAGTTCAAAAAGATGCTTCATCTCATGAGACATGGAACGGTTTTCTGTGAGATTGAAAAATCGGACTTACCATTTCCATATACCCAATCATCATTCAGTCTATGTCTAACACGTTGATAAATCGCTGATATGACCATCATATTCGACTTTCGCCATTGTCTTCCCAAATAACGTGTTTGTAATTTTAATAATTTTAATGTATACAATTGCATCATCGCTTGCTTAACACGTAATGTCTTGCGTAAAAATGGTGCTGATTTGACCGCAACTAGCACCTGAAAAACAAAAAGTTACATAGTAGCAACAGTAACTGGCTAAGTGTCTAATTAAAAAAATGCGGTTAGTTTAAAGAAATTCGTATTTAAACGCTTTACATTCGTCATAAAAACTAATATGATGCGTAATTGCAGCAGTACTGGTTAATCTCTAACAACAAATAGTTATATTTAAACGATAGAAAAAGCTGAGAATTGCTGCAACTCTTCTTCCAACTTTCTATTCAAGTTGCTTTTTGTTTAAATTAAGGTTCCCTTATTCACTTACCATCGTTCTCGCATGTTTTTCCTTTGTTAATTTATTTAATATTCTTAGTAAATTTATCGATGAAAACATATTTCGCCAACAATAATTTTCATTATCTGACACATTCTAGAGTGCAACAGAATTAAAACTTTTGAATCTTTTTAAAAAAGAATCCTTACAAATGTTTCTACAGTGAGTTCTGGTTGTTGACCAATAACACAATTTGGAAAATCCAATATTGGAATACTAAACGATATGAATTCAAATCAAATATCAGATGATAGTATAACGAAACTCAAATCCTCAATTGAACAACCATCTAGAATTGCGATCACTGGAAATGTCAAGATTCTTCGATACACACAAGTTTTTTATATAGGTCAAATCTAATACAATCTCAAAGGCTCCGAATTGTAGAACTTATCGAAAATATCGGTAGGCACTTACGTATTTTTTGCCTGTATATGTGATAAGACGTTGTGATTAAAAAACTTCAGTATAACTGTAATACAATTCGAAAATACCAGATTTTGACAAATATATTCAAACTAAAAAAATCCAAAGAAAGGAACTAGTAAGCGATCTTCTCTCATAGTCATACCTGGTAGATGTGATTGATTTTAAAGTGTTTTAATAACAATAATAAAATAGCAGAGACAGCTTTAATGATCATTTCCTAAAACAAAGAGAATTTTCTGAAATTTTTTAACATACATATCTGACACAGACATTAATTTTAGTTTCTCCTGATTGCGCTGTCGCGTTAGCTTGAGGACATGAATAAACATATCATTACAATTTTCTCTAATGTTATGAATTCCTGGTCAAATTTTACTGTCTCATTTTCAATTGAAGGAGACAAGAATCATTACCAGTTCAAACTCTCTTACTTTATGTCTATTAATATCGAACCCAAGTTTCATTGTTTGCACCATTGTTGTAGGCATTTCTTCCGGTATAACATCGCATAGAATATTAATTGATTCTGATTTCGGTTTAGCTGTAGGAGTTGAGGTAAGTAATAGTTTTAACAAAGCAATCTGAAGAATAAAAAATAAGCAGATACAAATCATATTTCAGTTTGCTGTCATCGTCATCTACCAAAAACTGTGGAATTTGTGGTAATGTTTCACGGTATAAACGTTCACTAGGTGTATCTGGAATAACTTTTTCCTTCTAAAATAAAATAAAATTGACAAAAATTTATAGAGAGAAAAGATATCTCTAACACTGTTTACCTTCGATAATGGATATTTTGCTATTTCATCTTCATGTTGCATTTGAATTTCAGATAAGGATATATACAGATGCTGTAAGAAATTGCTAGATCTACACATCCGTTTGAAGCAGAAAGCAACTTTAGTTGTGTCTTACTTGTTTGAGAATCTTCACACTTTCATGTATCGGCTTCGGTAGTCCAATCAATGTATTCAAATCATCTTTGATCGTGAATCCAACAAATTTTTTTCGTGTGTGATCCAAAAATGTTTCCAAATCCTTTTGTCTAAAAGTAAGTAAAATAGTATTAAAAGTCTTATCGATGCCTGTCTTATCCATCTTACCGGACTTTGGGTAACCATGGAAGTTCTCTGTTGAGCAATACTGTTGGATCTTCTAGATTTAAGGATGTATCAATTGAACTGTTTGATGTCGAAGAAGAAACCAATAATAGACCATTATCATCGTCATTAGAAGAAGGATTTGTAAGAGGTATTGGTGTAGATGATGTCGAATTTAGATTGGGTGAATCTTCACTATCACCATCTAAAACACTTTGTTTTGTAAAACTCTGCAAATGAAAGACGTCGAAGTATAAACTAAGTACGTTTCAGAACTATTACCTGCCTTTTTGCTCTTCTAGTATTACTATTTCCACTTTCATTTTGTTGTATGTCCAAACATTCTGCACCGGCTAACGGTGGTGAAATTGGTTGCATTTTTTTAATAACTTTTGATGGATTTTCTGTGATTGGTGACAAATTTTGTTTTTGACGCATGATATTTTTTTGTTCAAATGCATCTTCAATTCCACCCAATGTAAACTATAAATACAAACAAAAAAAATTATTGTTCAAAATCTTTACAAGAATTATATACGAGAATTAATTTCCATAATAACAACAGCAATTTTCGTATAGGTAATGGTGGAGATGGTTGAGCGTTACAAAATAGACAAATCGAATGAAATAATGTGTTAGCAAATAATTCGCCATTATCATTCGGATGAGCTAGTAAAAGAGACAAACAAATAAACGACTAGTCAATTATCATCCGTAAACAATCATTCGCTACATACACAGATCATGTTTTAGTGACTTTTTCAAACATAACCAATCTTTGTCACTGTCAGGTAGTTTTCTTGCAAATTCAATCACTGTATAGAGTACACATATAATAATCCTTAAAAAATTGTGACAAAATACATAATATATAAACAAAACTAAGGTTCTCTTACCTTAGATTTTGATTATCACTTAAATTTTTATTAATCATTTTTAGACTACTATCATGACACAAACTAAACGTCAACAATCTTCGAGTTAATATCGAAAATTAAAACATTAAAATTTCTGTTAGCTGTAAAAAAAGAGCTGATTATGACTAACCAGAGAGCTCATCCAAAAAATATTTTTGCTATTCAATATTTTTAGTTACCGTTCTAATTCCATATTGAATTGATCGATGAATATTTGAACTCCATCACATGAATAAAAAATGAATATATTTTGTTTGACATTTGTAATATATTCGTTGACATCTGATGACTGATAAAATACACCTGCAAAAGAAATAAACCAATATTGAAAAAAGTATTCTGAGAAAGAGATATTTCTCTTGAGTTATACCTTGTATTAAATATAAAAGGGCTCTCAATACTGAACATCGACTGTCTTTATTAACAAGTTCACATTGCTCTAGTAAATAGATTATAAAATCTTTTTTATCTTCCAATGATAAATTTTTCCATTGAAGAGCGCTATTATCTAAAACACGGAGAGAAGCAAAAGTATAGAAACAGAAGTAGAGAGAAAAGGGAGAAAAACAACAAAAATACTTGCATTTGGCTTGAAAGAACGTATCATACGCATTTGCATTCAAAAAAAATTCCGGTTCTTCTGAATAGGTATAGAGCTCTTTGAAAAGAAATGGGTAAAATGATATGATGGGATACAAATCAGACATTATTTACCGGCTATTTCAGCTGAAAGTGTATCTGAATCACCATAAACAAAATTAAATTCTGGTACATCAAGTAACGCCTAGAAATAAGAGCATAAAATATTAGCAAAAAGCGATAGATACAGACGCACCTCTGGATTAATCAATGAATTTCTTAAAATAACATCGCGTGGTTTTAATATACCACGACGAACAATTCCATTTGGATCCATGATATTCTGATTTTCTTCAAATTTCAATGTTTTTTCACATTTTATTTATTTTTCATGCGTATCTGAAAAGTGAAAGTAGTTGATGTTTCAAAGACTAGTAAAATAAAGTGAAACTATTAATGGTAGAGCCACGTGGTAATGGTGTTTGAAAGATGAACTTCAAAATAGATGCTTCCCTATTCGATCATCAATAGAATTCTGGTATGAAGCTAAACTGAATCCGATAATATCGATACTACTATAGTACTATACTAGATGCAAAGGATAGTACTAACTAGATGCAGAGGCTCACTTTATCAATATTTTTAACTTCACGAACTTAAGCAAAGATTGAAGGCAACTTAAAGATGCTAAAACAATGCTTAGCCAGGGACGTAGTTACTGGGGGCTGGTCACTACCGTCCTACTTTTAGAAAAGTTTTTTCGCTATTATCGCATAAAATTTTTGATACGCCTTATAGCATGTAGAAGCTGAATCTTCATTTAGCAATCCACTCGTGAAAAATGTTTTGGGGCAGAACCACTCCCTGGTTCGAGATACTAGCTGCGACCCTGTACTTAGCTTCAGATCATGTTCAATGCAGTCCAAACGAATTTAAGTTGACACTTTTGGATGAAACATCAAGAATTAAGCCACTCTTTACCTAAAACTAAGTGGAGACATGTTTACTTAAATTAAGAGGTACAAATGATTTCCTGATAAAGAGTAGTTAGTTTATTCACGAAAAATGAGAGTTATCATAGCTCCATGACCTGTAATATCTATGACTCAGGCCAAAATAAAAATGAGATAGGGAAACAAAAATAATAACAGAAATAAACAAAAGAAAAAGAAACTAGAATATGCAACGAGGATATAAAAGTAACGATGGAAAATAGACACAAATAAAGTAACGTTAGAGAAAAACAACCAGTACAAGTTGATTATGACTAGGAACACGGCTGAATTTTAGTGTAAGAGATACTGAACAAGTGCCTTTTTTGAAAGGCGTTAATGACGAAAAACAAATAACTGGCTCAGGAAGTTTATTCCAGTTAGTAATAGTTGAATAGAAAAAAGAAGAGACAACTGTTAAACAGTTGTCTCAAATTGAGAAGAAACACCATTGACAGAGGTTGGAATGGAAACATATTTAGAATGATGACAGCGAAAAGGAGAGTAATGAGGACGATGAACAGAGCACGAGGACTAAGACAATGATAAATTTTGAAAAACTGCATAAGTCGAAAATATTTACGGTGAAGTGAGAGGTTTGGAAGAGAAAGGTGTGACACAAGTAAAGAGCTAGAAATGAAGCGATAATCAAAATTACGAGAAATAACACGAGAAGCAAGTTTATTTACAGAATCAAGTACAGAAAGCGAGAAAGAACTATAGTATAAGGCACAACAGTAATCAAGTTTAGGAAGAATAGAAGAAAGATAGATTCGACACCGAACCTCTGATAGAGCTAGCCCAGAGACACGACTCAGTGTACCTGGCTTGCGCCGAATAAAGAATAAATAGCTTCATTAGCAAAAGTTCTCTCAGAATTGGTCTTTTTTTAGGTATAACGTAAACTGGAGGGATAATGTAGAAAGTTCACAGCATCTATGTGTGAATGAATGAATAAATAGACTGCACAGGTGTCACTATGACCCGACAAAGACTTAAGACACATAAAGATAGTTATGTCCACTCTTAACCACCAAGATTAAATCGCATATTAGCAGTTGTTCTCTAATCCAATCAAAATGTGTTCTTTTTCGTAAGCTGATTAGAATCTGATTCATATACCTAATTTCATTCGCACCTGATCTAGAATATCACTAAAATCAACGTAGTTTGCGTTAATTGAAGTGATTTGCTCCCAGGGTATTATATATTATATCAAGGAAAACTGCGAAATTACACTGTTAAGCAACAGTACTAGGGGAAGGGATTTTCTTGGCGAATTATGGATTAAATTTGGACAGATTCCACAGCTGCAGTTTGTTTAAACATACACAACTTTAGGATAACATGAGATTTCCACACCATTCCACTACCCCATATCACCGGAATAAAATAAAGTTGATTTTGAGTTGTTGAAAAGTGCTTTTTCGTATTCAGCACCCCCGATAACTCCGAAGATTTTCTATTTTTGATGAAGAGTACTTCCAAAAGTTTAGGAAAATTTTTAAAATTAATATTAATTTGGATAGGTCTATTGACTAATATGTCAAGACTAATATGTCAATAGCCATTCCGTATTAGTTTCTCATGGGATTTTTCTGCGACAATTTCTTTCAAAATTTGGATATATTTTTAGCGTTGTTTGGGGTCTATTTTTAGACAGTCATTATTATGACTATGGTTCCGGTATATGGAGATTACTGAAACTTTTTATTTATCTAGTCAACCGTGACAACGAAAAAAAATGTTTGTTGATAATATGTACGACAAACCAAGCAAAACGAAATAGAGATAAAAATCTAAAGTTTATAGAAAAATACATTGTGCTGATACGCGCATGTATGCTCGTGTGCAGACATGCGCACCGACGAAACGCCGACCAACGACGCCGCCAGTAGCGGAAAATATCTAAGTAATCACAAACTCGCCGCAGCTGCCGCCACCTCAAATAAACGGCGTTTCACAGATTAAAAAGAACTTTTTCTGTGCTTACTCTCTCATCCGCCAGTAAATATCATACATATGAATCTCTATATATACTTCTGCAATTTTATGTCAACCCATCATGTATACAATTTCAACAAAAAATTATTTTTTGTGCGCTCGTATATGAATACTAATGATTCGCACTATTAAGTCACGATTATCTTTTCAATCATGATTAGTGCGGTTATATACATTTTTTTTAATCATGATAAAGTATAGTTAATGGTGATTTAAAAAAGTTGCGCTTACACTAGAAAATTCTTAATCGGGATTATTTGCGTAGTGTAAAGCCAGTGATTGTTTATGAGTTTAATTTTTTTGTGGCTAGTATGATGGTTATACAAGCTGTC